GTAAGTAACGTAAGTAACGTAACGTAACGTAACGTAAGTAACGTAAGTAATAAGTAATAATAATAATATATATATATATATTATNTTTTTTTTTTTTTTTTAATGTCATTTTTGGCAACAAATGAGAGATTTTTATATGGAAGCAGTGTTCCAAAAAATTCTGAGCGACACCTAGGCAGCTAGGGGGGTCCAGGTTGCCCAATGCTTAGGCGACCCCGTAGAAGTAAAAAGTTGTTTTAAGGTCAGATTTTGTGTAAAAAATCAAAAAATACATATTGAAACATATTTTAGTCCATAATTCCATGAATTTCAAATTGAGACATTAAAAAATAAATATTGAGACACATTTTAGTCCATATCCAAGATAGCAACTTAGCTAAACATCAATTAATCATCAAGAAAATGAAAGAAAATAAGAAGTAACACATAAGAGTTAGGGGGCACATCAAATGTCTATAGTCCACAAGTCCACATACACTCCCCCATACACATAGTTAAAACTTAAAAGTTTACAAACCACAGTACACAACCAAGAGGAGAAAAAAAAATGAAAGAAATATAAACTTGAAGACTCAAAAGGGTCAATCATCATCCATCATCAAAAAAAACTGGGTCAGCTGCATCTGTATCATATGCATTGGAGTCGAGGCCATCATCTTCGGAATCATCTCCCTTCAAAACATAATGGTCGTCCTCCTATGTCTCTTTGGAATCTGCCTCTACTTCCTCCTCCCTCTTCGTCCTTTGGGAAGAAGATCTAGCGGCCCTAGGAGGGTCGACTGATGTCCTTGAGGCTTCCATGATCATATCCCATGTCAATCTTTAATGCCCCTCAACATCATCATCATCAACTGACCATTCTATATCATTATCCATATTTTTTTATCTTAGGGGGGGTCTCTCTTATCTCTCTTAGGAAGCAAACCTCTCCTTCACGTATTGATTATACTTAACATAGACAAGGTCATTGGGCCTCTTTGATTCAAGCCTGTTCCTTTTCTTTGTATGAATCTAATAAAATAAAATGAAACTAATTATACAAATCTATATAATACTGAAAAACAATTCATAGGCCCTCTAACCCGAGGCATTTTAGGCCCCCCACCTCTTCACACCCTTTACACCCTTCACTCCCTTTCCACCTCTTCACACCCTTCCTGATCACTATCATCATCATCAAAATTGACACGACCCCAGACCTCAGCTTTGCTATGGATGCCTTTCTCCGCTCTGTTTTTTTTTTTACTCTACTCATAAATTTTTTTTATCTCCTCTCTAATAGCATCAAGAACGTTTTTACATGGGGCAACATCCCCTCTGATACCAACAAGATGTTTCTTAAACCATTTTATGCCCCCATTTGTTTCCTTTTCATAATAATTGCATCTTTTGCAATTTTTATTCGAAGGATTTGGGTTGTAGCTATATTTCCAACCCAAATCACCACTTTTAATAGATCTCGAAGAAGACATCTCAAAATAGTACAAGCAATCTAAAAACTAAAAGTTTTCAATAAGTTTGTTTGCTTGATCTCCAAACGTTCACCTTTGAGATGTTTTCTAATATCAAAATATTCTAAAAAACCTTTTAATATACCTATGAAACATTCAAAACTAAATCTAATCTCAATAGGTGGTGTTTAGGTTATTTTCTCGTAACTTTGAGAAACTCTTCAATCCTATGGAAATCACAAAACTCTAGTTTTTTGAGGTTTCTCTCTCTAAAATGGCTCTAATGGGTTTAGGATTGAAATGAACCTAAACCCCACCTTTTCTCCCTCTTATTTGTATAAAACAACCGAAAAATACCCCTCAACAAGAGGTATTTTTGCCCCTGGGCGCATAGGCGGCCCCGCCAAGGGGCAGGTTGCCTAGGCGCTGGGCGGTCCGCCTTTTGAAACAATATGTGGAAGGGGAAAAAAATCTGCTATCAACCTAATGGTTTAGAACCTCAACCAACATTTTTTGGCACATTTTAATTATTAGAAAAGAGTTAGTAGAGACATGAACTAAGCTCTATACATCCAATGGAGTCACGAAAGAGTAAGAAAATTGTTAAAGAAGGAACCTAATGTTAAGGTCATTTTCCCTTTTATTGTGAAAATGTTGATGCCTTACAACAAAATTGGAAATGGCAATTGTCAGATGTCTTATCCATGTTTTAATATGACTGACCCAGATGGGGTTTCGACATGGCCTGTTTCCATGTTGGCTCACTGAAATTCAACTGAGTCTCAAGAGAGTCGATCAGGTCTTATTGAGCCTTTGCCCTGATCTGCGGAGTCACCTTAGGGAAGTCCCGAGTTGGCTCACCAATTTTTAAAACTATAAATCTGTCCTTTTTAAGAGAGTCTTTTGTACAACTTTTATTGGGTGAATTGCAGGAGTTTATAGTAAAAAGTAGATTGTTTGGCTGTGTATATGTGTTACGTTTCAAATGGATGAATAAAGTTTACTTTATTGTAGGAAAATTTAATCAACTCGTTTATCAGTATCCAATTCGTATACCTGAGAGATTTTCTCTTGTTATACGTTCATTGTTGACTCAAGAAGGCATCTGTTTTACTCTGAAGCCAGATTTCAAATTTCTTGAGGTATGAAGATTTAATCTTTCTTTGTACTTCTTTATTAGTGATTATGCATAGCATGTCACCTTTGTACCTCTCTATTCTATAAGCTGGTCATTTTTGCCATCAGTATTAATTGTTGAGCTTGGACAAGCGAACTCTGCAATTAGTTCAATGATGATTGAATTTGACTTATTTCTAGGTTTTCTAATTAGAATGTGCTCCATTGTTTCGTTGTCAACGATCTTTTCTAGGTTGCTTACCCTTATATCGCAAAGCGTCTCTTGACAGATCCAAATCCAGCCCTACGGGAACGTCTCATTCAGGTCAGATTTAGGAAGTGTTCGTCTTTCTATTGTGGCTCATTCCTTTACTCACTACATGCTCATGCTTCTTACTTACTCATTTGTATGTTCTTTTATAGGTTCTTTTCAAAGATGGGGTTTTCCAGTGGAAACGGCTAGAAAACCTCATTCTTCTTGCGAAGGAAAATGTGGCCAAGATGAGTAGCAATCCTGCACTGCAATCTAATTACATGTATGTGGCTTGACCTAGTTGTTTTATTGGGTGCTTCCTTTTCCATTGGAATTTTCATTTGATATATATCATGTACTTTTCCAGGCAAAGTTCAAAAAGTTGGCAGGTTGAGAGAAAACTGGACCTTACTGACACCATTAAAGATGGAGCTCGTGTATTCATGGTTGATGCTGGGATTCGAAGACAGCTTCTTCTGGCATTAACGGAGGAATCCAAGCTTCACATTCAAGAGGTTGCCATCATATCAATCATTATTATCATCATCCCGGTCTTATCCCAACCATTTGGGGCTGGCTGCCATCATATTAATACCCAAAGTCAAAAGAAGCTGCCTTTTTCTTGTTGAACTTGAGATAAATTATCTAACAGGACTACTTTGCTATTTGTTCTTTTTTTCTGCAGCTTGTGGATGTCTATCAGTTGGTAGAAAATGATGTAGATATACCATCAGTGGCACTGGAAGTCATTCAAGGTAAATGATGCTTATCCTTGTGTCGGACTGGGCTGAGCAACCTGTTACATATTTTAAAATGCAAATCTCACTCTTTAAGGATAGAATTATTTCGATACTGAAATGGCAATTGGGATTTTTCTTTTTGGTTGCAGAATTACCAGCCATAACGCGTGACATTATGCTTTCATGGAGTGAATCAATTCTATCGGATCCTTGACAAGCCACAGGTGTCTTTAGCATCTGCTTTAAAATCATGCTATATTCAAGGTTTTACAGTTAATAAGAGGCATGTGGCAATTTGTAGGATCTAAATGTAGAGTACACCAATATTTTGTCTTAAGTTGAATTCAACTTAAGACAATCACAGTTTTTCGTTGTATTGTAGCTAGAAAATTCAACTAAGACAATTGCAGTTTTCCTCGTATTGTAGCTAGAAAAATTTCTGCCAAGTCTCAATGCAACCATTGGTTCATTTATGAGGCCACCTAACTGATGTGCTAAGCGCAACCACTTTGGGAGATCAGTATATTGGGGAAATTGAGCAATGGGGCTAGTGTTGCCCTTGTAATACATGCGTACGTGCACGCATGGATGACTTCGCTTTTGGCATGTTTTTATGCCCAGTGTAGCTTTGCTGCCTAATATCTAAGGTGGTTTAGAATGAGTTGGGTGCTCTCTCTCTCTCTCTCTCTCTCTCTCAATATCATCAGGCCTGATCACAAAGGTGGCTCTTTTTTAAAATTGTAGTACTGTATGAATTACCATTTGCAGCCAGAGACGCCCTATAGATCGTCTTAAATTTCCTGCCCAGTTCAAATATGTCAAGGTCGTTCAGAAGAAGCTCCAGAAATTTGATGGGAAAGAGGAGAGCAAAACAATTGCATTCGGGTTTTTTATAAAGAAAACTTCAGTGGAAAAGGAGAAATTTCTAGAGAATGACGATCTCTCTGGCTCCCTAGGCTCTTGAAGTTTGCCGCTTTTTTCCCTGTATTCCAACTACACTTCCCTGTATTCCAACTACACTGCCTCGTGGTGGAATTTATTGTTACATCAGTGTATTATACGAAAGATATCATAGAAGAGACAGAATTAATGGGTAAACTTTCCGACAAATGAGAGAGGAGGGACGTCTATGTACTCCCTCGGGTAAACAATGCTCTTGAGGGAGCATAGCATGTGCTCAAAACTGATATTAATTGCATCTTCCAAGAATTTGAAGTGCTCAGTACAACATTAAACTGAAATAATTGCATGAGTTTTCCAATTTGCGCTCTTGTATTTCCTAAACTAGTTCCTGACGTAATGATAGAAGATAGAATTTCTCATGTGACTTTTCGTTAGCTGAGATTTTCCAACAAAGAAAATCTCCTAACCTGCTTTAGATGATGGGATAGGAGGAAATTAAAATGAGGTGGACCAAAGATAGAGGTCACCACAAAACTTTTACAATTAATCAACCACGTCTTATAATCTTCGTTATTTGGTTTTCCCTTGATTATCTAGAACCTCCAGAGGTTCCACAATCTCAACGTGTATCCAAATTCCATGGTTTTCATGACTTCGGGATCTATTGTCATCCTTGTGAGAGAATCTTGAAAGCACCACATCATGTGGCTTTGCTTCTGATTTCTGAACATGTCCCTTCAGGCTCTTCAACAGGTCCTCATGTCCCCATCTTTAACCACCTTCTTTGTTGCCCCAGTTTGTATCGGCATCTTCCTCGGATTCACATACACACAGCGCACACCAAAGGAATTGAGGACATTAAAGAACACTGAAAATAATTGTCACAGTTTGTGATGGATTATCTTGTTTTTGAGAATTTAGCTTGAGATAGATTATCGGATTACTTATATGGATAGATTTAAGTCACTTGCACCCTTTTTGCTTCATAGTGACGAATATAAAACAACCCTAGTGTCCTGTGGTTCCTAGTTTTTGACTTGCAAGCTATGCGGTCTAAACTGCCAGAAAACAAAAGAATTATGTAAACAACTCTTGGTTCAACCAGTTTCTAGTTTCGGTAAATCCAACTAGCTCAGAAACAGTGTTGAACCAGCTGATCCAACTTAATCATCAAACAATTTACACTTCAACATAGTTCCAAATGGAGCAGCATTATGTGGAACAACTCAAAGAGGGACTAATGGATATTAACGACCCAAAAAAACTCCACTAGCCAATCTAAACATGAAATTAATTAGGTCCCTCCATAACATTCTTCAAAAAGAAAACAAGTCCCTCCATAAGCCTACCTCCAAGAGATGTTTATTGGTGCAATTATCATCTTGTCTAGCTTCCGTGGAAAAAAATCACGCACACCTCAGAAAGGAATGCATGGTATCAATCCTGATGATTTTTTGTTTTTAGTTTAACACTTCTAGCAGAATCTTCTTAATGTTGAATAATAATGATAATAAAAACTCTACATATAACAGGAGAAATAAACCTGCATTCAGAGGGGGACCTCATGCCTGCCTCACATGTATAGCACATCAGAAACCACAGATAATGAAAACCACACATGCTTTTCTGTTTATCAGCAATTACAATCTTACATGTTCACTATGCAAAAATTTGCATGCAGCTCCACGATTACAATTGCCTCTCTGATAAGCACGGCAAAGATTCCGTGCCTCTCTTTTAAGACCCTCTTCCTCTTTGTTTTCTTGTCTGCTTTTATAGTGAGCCACATGATCAACCCTTATGATCCGCCCAAGGATCTTAGCTCCATTAAAATTATCTGAAGGAATATCATTTTAATAGCAAGAAGATCACAATATGAAACAAATTTTACCTTTTATGTCCATACATATCAAGTAGAGAAATAACAATCTTTCAGCTCACCAAAAATTGGAGTTAAATTGGTTCCAAAAAAAGTCGGGAACAAATTAGATAAAAATATGGATCAACAAAAATAATGTAAATAAAAATATCATGACTATATCAGATTGGGCTCAAAAATCGAAGTTGAGAAAATCAGATGTGTAAACTGCTAAAAAATAAACAGCTACACAGTGGTGTTTTTTGTTTTTGGTTGAATCTCTCTCAATTCCTTCATAATGGTGTTTTTTGATTGAATATCTCTCAATTCCTTCATAATGGTGTTTTTTGTTTTTGGATATATGATTTTTTCCCAGTTTGTTTATCTTGGAGAATAGGTTATGGAGTTTTTTTTTTTTTTGGGAGAACACATTTTTATTGGAACACTCTTTTTGTCTTGGAAATATTTTTTGACAATGTCTCAGTTATAATTGGGTTACAAGAAACTTCAAGTTACAAACAATTGTCAACAGCGCATGGAAATGGAAGCTAATGCTTTTCTCCAAGCTTCAAATAAAACAAATATAGAACATCTAGAAAATTGTGCTTTTAGAAGAAAAAATAAGAGCCAAAATCTTGGATATCTTATAAATTACTAACCTACTGCAAGGATTGTACTCCTCTGATCTTCCTATGAAAGAAACACAAAACCTTTAGATTTCCCTGTACACTCATCTCATATCAACAATCTCGCCATACCTGAGAAAGTAACAATTTAAAAAGGAAGAAGATGGTTATCACTGCATGAAAAGAAATGTCAGTTATAATCACTAAATGGATGTTGGAGGTCAAACTTAGAACTATAAATCACTTTTTTACAAGTAAACATTAACCATAGCCATTGACCACTATGAAACTAATGCTTATAACAGCCATTATAACAATATATCCCCCTAAACCCTGTTGTGCAACAGTAATTGCTACGATCGATTTAGAATGACTATAAATATGGATTAAAGCAAAATCAGATCAATGCCTCTCTTTAAAATTCACTTGAGAATAATAACAAACACTTCACGTGTATATATTTCAAACACTTAAAAAACATAAGCAAGACAAATCCCCAAACAGTTATCATCTAAATCATACTTTATCCAAGCTATTAATCATACCAAACTCACCAATTGCTTCAACTAAGGCATGCAGATCAACTAAGGCATGCAGAGAATAACCAAATCTACAACTCAAAAGTATAAAAACAATGGAACATCAAAAGGTTAGTACCAATGTAGAGAGAGAGTTAAAGATAATGGTTCATGAGATTACACTCAAAAGTGGCTTGTTTCATGGTGACCTTACAACACCTCTGAAATTGTAGAGAAAGAGGGATGAACTTTCGGTATAAAGAGAGACTAGAATACCATGGCTTTCTCTTCAGTTCTCTCTCTCTTTAAGCCATGGCCATTTTGGTCATAAAAAAAAAATATAGCCATGACCATTTTGGTCATAAAAAAAAAAAAAGGGCAAAATTGTTAAAACCCCTTTCTCTTCAGTCCTATCTCTCTTTAAGCCATGGCCATTTTGGTCATAAAAAAAAAATATAGCCATGACCATTTTGGTCATAAAAAAAAAAAAAAAGGCAAAATTGTTAAAACCCCTTCAAGATGGACTTTTTACCTACTTTACACCCCACTCACCTTTTTCTAGCAACTCCTCTCAAAAAACTAATGCTTTTTAGCTAATAACCCCATACACAAAAAGTTAATTTATTTTGGACAAAAATGCCCTTCTCATAATAAATTATTTTCATTAGAGAGGGCGGTCCGACATTTTGAACAAGCGGTCTGACGATTTTTTTGCTGGAATGGGCAGTCCGGCGTTTCATGGTGGCGGTCCGGTGATTATTTTTTTGCTGAAATGGGCGGTCCGATATTTGGAAGTTACGATTCGACATTTTGATGTGCGATCCGACATTTTGAAGGGGCAGTCCGGTGTTTTGATATGGCGGTCCGGAATTTTGTAGAGGCTGTCCGGTGTTGTACAAATGCGGTCCGGTGTTTCCTTTTATTGGGATCCGAAAATGATTTGTTTTGTGAAGGGATGGTATTTTTGTAAAAAAAAACTTTTTGAGTTGGGGGTATTAGTTATAAAAGATGGTTTTTGAGAAAAATAAGTGAAGAAAGTTTAGGGTGGGGGTAGAGTGTCTAAAAAGTATATGTTTGGGGTTTTTAGCAATTTTCCCCAAAAAAAAAAGTGTTTTAGAAAATAAAAAAATAAAGAAAAACTCACCCCAACATTCCCCCACTGCTTTCGATATTTTTTTTGTTAATGAAATCATTCACCCATTGAAATGATGTCCTCTATTATGATCACTTGAGTTGTGCATCCTCAAGTAATCAATAGTCCATAAACATATGCATTCCATCCACTTAATGGCATCGACCCCACACTTTCCCTTGCTTATTTACACGTCGTGGCGTATTGTGTCATCATCAGCTGTTTTATGAACTTCATTCATAGCCTTCTGGATCATCATAGTCTCTCATTAGGTACCAAACAACATAATGTGTCAGACACCAGCATTGCTGATGCCATACATGTGCCCATTATTAAAATTTTGATAGTTTATTGCTGCAATGAGTTCTCATGTAATCCCACAAAGAGATTCATCTCACTAAGAGATGCTCAAATGCCGAAAGATACATACTTGTAAATTACAAGGGCAAACCACGAGCGTCAGTCACATAGGCTAGTGGATCACAAAAAAACCACCATATCACTAACATACCATTGCATCAATATGATGCTCATGCTACACAGGTTAGTGGATCACAAAGAAACCACTGTATAACGAAGATACCATTACATCACTGAGATGCTCATGCCACACAAGTTAGTAGATCACAAAGAAACCACTGTATCACGAAGATACCATTGCATCACTAAGATGCTCATGCCATATGCGTCATCAAGATAAAACTTGAAACGCAACAAAGGCTATCCATGGCACTATACAACAACCACTAAAGTTCCAATATTTTGCTCAAACATCAATATACTATAAAGTCTAATATCACTGTGACTCATCTATGCGACTAAGTCCTATGGAAAGTACACTTCTTACAAAAGGGTCTACATAAGTACCATTTGTCATTGAATCAACAATCATCAATTGAGTAGGAAGATATCTAACTTTTACTTATTTTTCACATATTCCTTTGTGGAGTGGTACTTTTTTTTAATATGTTTTGACTTGACATGATACATTGGATGTTTTGAAATTGCTACTGCTGCTTGATTATCACAATAGATTATTGTGGGTGCATGATCAAACTTGACTAGTGGCATCTCACTAAGAAAGTGCCTTAAGAATATCGCTTCTCTTGAAGATGATATAAAGCAATATATTTTGCTTCTATAGTAGAACGTGATATACATTTTTGCTTTTTACTTCCCCAAGATATACATGCCCCACCAAATGTAAACACTTATCCTGATGTGGATCTACAATCATCAATGTTTGCTCCTAGATTTGCATCACAATAACCTTCTAGGGTCAGATCTTTAGTCTCGTAACATAGACGATAATTATGTGTCCTCTTTAGATATATAAATCTCATCTTTACCAATTTCTAATGTTCAATTCCAAGATTAGTCATATAACAGCTAGCAACTAGTTAAGAGAACCAACAGCTTGCGCATAATGGTATTTCTTCATAATGTCCTTTTCTTTATCACTTTTAGAACACATTTCCTTACTAACTTACAATTTTTGTCATTCGGGATGGCCATAGGTTTGGAGTCCACCATATTAACTTTATTTAACATCTTAAGAGTATACTGATCTCGATTAAGAACTAATAATATTTTATATCTATATTTCGTCACTTTGATTCCTAAGTTATTATCAACTTGTCCATTTCTTTCACCTCAAATTTAGAGGATAACCACTTTTTATAATCATAAATGGCTTTTGCATCACTTCTAGTTAAAATTATATCATCCACATAAAGGACCAAAATCAAATATATACCCCCATTGTATCGGGTATATACACAGTAATCAACAGTAATATTATTGTATCGGGTATATACCATTACCTTGAGGACTGCTTTAGACCATAAAATGATTTAATTAATTTACATAATCTATGTTTTTGAATTTGAGATTCAAAACCTTCAAGTTGAGTCATGTAGATTTCCTCATCTAGTTCAGCATTTAAAAATGTAGACTTTACATCTATTTGATGAACCTTAAAATCATAATGATTAGCTATTGCTAATATTATTCTTATTGAAGATTGTCTTGCTGCATGTGAAAATATTTCTTGAAAATCAATTCCTTCATTTTGGCAGAACCCTTAGCCACTAATTTAGCTTTATATCTTTCAATATTACCATTATAATTCAATTTCTTGGAGTACATCCATTTAGAAGCAATTGCCTTTTTATCTGAAGGTAAATCTACTATAACCCATTTTTTATTGCTCATTAGGGACTCTTATTCATCCTTCATAGCTTCTAGCCAAAACTTCATTCGAGCTAATTGCATTTTTTAAATTATGGGGTACTTCATTCAATTCATTATAATAAACGTAATCGTCTAAATAATTAGGTTTTTAAATTTTCCTAGTACTCCTTCTAGGCTCATACAACTTAGGAGTTGGATCAACTCTAGAAGAGCTTCTTACATTAGTTGTTCTAGAATATGATGATTCCTCTTGATCACTATATTCTAAAAAACTAGCTTGCTTATTTATCGGTATTTGGAAGTCTTCAAAGAGACGGGCTTCTCTACTCTCTTGATTATTTTTCCATCTTTTACATAGACATCACATCCACTAATATCAATCCTAGAGAGAGAAAGTAAGATTCTCCTCATATTTGGGGCATATAACACATCAATAAGAGTCAAAGTGCCATCGGTTGGAAGTGGAAATCTAATTGTGCCGTCTCCAAGAATGCTGATGATAGACAAGTTGCCCATATAAAGTTTTTCAGCACCATCACTTATTTCTTTGAAATTTATCATGTTGTTCTTGGTATTGGAAATGTATCGAGTAGCTCCTAAGTCCACCCACCTCTCATCGGGGGAACTCACCATTAATGATTCTTCAACCACAAAGGTTAAATCCTTAGTGCTACTTGCTTGTCAAATATCATTCTTCTTGGGTTCCCTGCAATATTTGGTAATATGACCATATTTATTACAATTATAACATTTATTAAATTTCAATGGAGTGTTTGAGGAGATTCTTAAATTTCTTTTTAGATTTGCCTTCTCATTCTTGTTGGTCATTGCTAGATAGGCTTGGTTTCTATCTTTTTCGTTCTTTTCCCTAACCCTATCATTTTCTTCCATCATTAAGTGTCCTCTTAGATCATCTAAAGTATGGATTGTCCCATTATGATGCAATTTTGTCTTTAAATAGTTCCATGAGTTAGGAAGATATTCTATAATCTTCATAATTTGTTGATACTCACTTATGGGTTCACCAAAACCAGCAAGTTGATAGCCATAATGCATATATCATCAAAATATTCAAGTACCGGTTGATTTTCCTTCAACTTATACATATTGTATCTTTTATACAACTCACACTTAGCCACATAGTTATCATCGGTGTGTCTTTTATCAATAGCAGCCCACAAATCTTTAGCATTTTCATAGCATTCAAACACTTTATGTAGTATATCACTTAGGCAATTTAGAATGGCACATCTACATATGAAATCATCAATTTTCCATTTAAAAAACCTTTGCCTATCTCTAAGAGTTGTATCATCATCAGGTTCAGTGGGCTTTTCATCATTAATCACATATAGCAATTCCATATTATGGAGTAAGAAAAACAATTTCTTTTTCAAATTCAAAAGTTAAACCCTTCTAATTTCTCTATCATCACCAAATCGAAAAGAATACTCTTTATAGTAGCCATTGAAATTAACCAAAGCTCTAATACAAATGCTAGGATCGATTTAGAATGGCTATAAATATGGATTAAAGCAAATTAGATCAATGCCTCACTTTAAAATTCACTTGAGAATAATAACAAACACTTCATGCTTGTATTCCATATATTTTGTCTTAGTCCTGCTAATTTTAAAACCTTTAGATTCTAGAGCATCCCTCCAACATTCTAACTTTGTGTTAATGCCGCCTTTAGTCTCATTGATCAAAATGACATCATCCATGAACAACATATAGATTTGTTGTAGACGGTCACTCAATGTGAGAGAGAGGGAGAGGAGAGAGAGTGAGTGCGTGTCATTCAACTATAGAGGTTTATTTCCTCTATTACATAGCATGGTGGAAGGAAAGAGATCGAAGTAAGAAGCAGGAATGTGTTTTTTTTTTTTTTGGGTGAGTCAGTGGGGAGAGGGCCTCTACATTTGGTCCTCTACCCTTGGTAGGAATTGAGCCTAGGACGTAGCAATGCAAATCGTCAACCGCTAACCACTTAAGCCTGGACTCTTTTCTTAGCAGGTGGAATATATTTATTAGACCGTGCAATGAATTAAGGATTCTATACAATGAGACCATTTACCTTTAATATATGGAGGTTAGAATTACTTACAACCATCCAATATGAAATCTGATAGCTTGGATGTGTCATAAAATTCGAGAAAATTTCTTTTGAATTTTGAAATTAATCAATGAAATAAATACAGCCACCAACTTCACATCCAATATATCAAAAATAATTGTGACCACCTTGTACTAAAGGTAAATTATCTCATTATGTACTTTCCCAATGAATGAGATTGTATACAATGAGACCATTTACCTTTAGTACAGAGAGGTCACAATTACTTTCACCCATCTGATATGAAATCTAATAGCTTGGGTGTGTCACAAAGTTCAAGACAATTTATTTTGAACTTTGAAATTTGAATTTGGTCAATGAAATAAATGCAGCCACATAACTTCACATCCAATGGTCAAGATTAATTTTAACCACCTTATACTAAAAGGTGAATGGTCTAATTTTTTACAGAAATTTGTAAAAAGAAAAAGGATCATAGGGTCTAGGCATACACCTAATTAGGAGTTATCTAGCCCCAAAAAGCATGGTAACGGTTTTATCGATGTTTGCATTAATCTTTATGTCCACCTTGTGTGAGAGATTTCTAAAATGGGGTATTGCTCTCAAATATCAAAGGAAAAGTTTTGGTGCACATGCATACCCTTGCAGAAATATATATCTTAGACCATGGGTTTTGGATCTAAAATTTAACGAGATGACAATAATCATGCCCACCATGATTCCGAATCCATATTCAAAATCACATTCTAGTATCCCTCAAACAGACTATCTGGAGCATAGTTATCTAAGCCAAGACCAGACAAGCTAACTGGTGCTTTATTTGGTCTGGTATAAGAACATAACACAGTTTAGCTAGAATGAGGTTGAAGCCCGAGATTTCTTAGAAGGATTAAAACTGATTTCAAGATTGGAAGGGGGTAAAATTGTAAAAAGAGATTTAACAAATGCTATTGTTTAAAGCAAAGGAGAATCCAATATGCCATAAAAGTTAAGAGTTATTCTCCATGAGATTAGGGATATATTATTGGCTACAAATGTTGATCTCTGCTACCGTGAGGCTAATGAAGAAGCAGATTCACTTGCCAAAGGATGGGCCTCTTCTTTGAGGGTTACTTTTTTCCAATGATTTTTTTTTTTTACTTTTGTTTACCTTGTGCTCTTACTTTGATTAATGACATTTTTTTGTTAACGTCCATAAAAAAGATAAAGAAAAGAAAACATAGTTGGTGAGAAACTTGGTTAAAACAATATTTGATTGATTCTAGCCATTCCAACCGCCACTCTAAATCGAGCTACTAACACAATAAAATTTCATGTCCATTTCATTTTAGTGCCTTGAGTTGTTTAGCAAAGGAGTAATTTAATCATGGTCATCCATCTAATATAAAAATCAAATGAGATTGAATCATACTTCACATGGTATGGTGTTAGGTTTTCATACCAAATTCCGTCCATATTTATTGCTGGATGGGGAAAGTTTGAAAGTTGGTCCAAGTATCCAACACTAACTATACGTGTACAAATATACGATATTTTTCCAAAGTGATTGTATACCATGAGACAATAGCAAACATCCATCTCTAACTCGTCATGCAAAACTTCATCTATTGCTTTGTACAGTAGAATTACATGAAAAATGCAAAGCCATTATCGGTGATAATTATACAGAGCATGAGATATTGCCAATAATAATATACAATGAATATCAACGCATATTCATCCCATTTATTTCTCTGAGGAACCAGCAACGCCATTGAACATGGTTGGGCACAAACATCTCCATACCTGGAAAGATGAAAAGAATATGAATAAGATGAACTGATTGACCAATGATGGCCAGGGCAAAGATGAAGATACGGCACTCTCGGCATGCTTTAAGCAGGAAAGGAGAGGAGGTGATCTCTCAGTCATATAAAGGCCAAGGAGTTGCGGTCATGCGCAGGCTGTGGCCTGCCCCGAGTTGGCGTTGGCGGTCTTTGTATATTAAGCTCCTGTGGAGGGAAATGCATCAATAAGGATGCTTTTTTATACCAGAAATGCAAAGAGAGCATGAACAGGCAAGCAATTCCAAAGATATTCACCTGCATCCAAGTTTCTTCCAGGGCATGGTCTGGGGATGATTCCGGTGATTGGAAAGGAGGTGGAAGGGGATGAATCAACTTTGGAACTACCACCAAATCCCTGCCAACCACCAATATTGCACCAGCATTGTTTGCCGTTCCTGACACATTGTTCTAATCAGAAAAATGCAAGTATTTCCCCAATGGGATATATTTATCAAAATACACCAACTATTAACATTTTGTCATTTTTCAAAGAAAAAATATACAAAGAGACCACTTTTTAAGCACAAGGAGGCCATAATCATTTGTGTTCGTTAGATTTCAAATTGGATGGTTGAGTGTGTTATTGATTAGACTCAAAATTCAAAAACATTCCTTGAATTTTGTGACATACTCCAAACTATCCAATTTGATATTTAATGGCTAGTGGCAATTGTGACCACTTTGTAGCAAAGATAAATGGTCTTATTGTATACAATCTTTTTTTTCAAATATTCCAATTCATGAACCTGCATATTTTGATGCAATTTTTTAAATACCCTTGCCGAAGCCAAGTTATTGGAGCGAGTCTGTGTGGACTCGCTCGAGTTAAGACCACTGCAAAAGTAAAATTTGGACTCGCTTGTGTTTTTTTTTTCAAAAAAAAAACCTGCAAAACGTTGAAAATAAAATGTTAGAAAATTAAAAAGAGGGGCCTTTGACCATGTACCCATGAGAGAGTGAGAGAGCCCTGGGCACGTGGTGAAAGGGTTTGTTCCTCTCTCTTTCTCTCTCTCTGATCTCGCTCTCTTTGATTTCTCTCACTTAGCTCTCTCTTTGATTTCTCTCTCAGCTCTCCTTCAATTTCTCCCTCTCAGCTCTCTTCAATTTCACCCTCTCTCAGCTCTCTCTTCAATTTCTTTCTCAGCTGTCACTTTGATATCTCCCTCTTTGATCTATGATTTCTCCCTCTCTCATTACTCCCTCTTTGATCAATGAGAGATTACTCCCTTTTTCGCTAATCTCTCTCTCAAATCTCACTCCCTAATAGAGAGATGAGCGGGGAGTGCAAGAGAGGAAAGAAAGGGGGAGTGGAAATCACCCCCTTTGTGTGTGTGAGAGAGAGACAATACTTGGTTAGAGTAGACACAGGGAGAGCTCAAGCTTGTAGAGAGATGAAAAGGGGCCATTTTAAAGAGGGAGCAGAGAGCAAAAGGGGAGAGAGAGAGAGAGAGAGAGAGAGAGAGAGAGAGAGAGAGAAAGAGAAGAAATAAGGGGTTGCCCCCTTCTTTTCTGTAGATAAGTTGTTCTGAGGTAATCAGTGCAACTCACCTCTAGCACAAGGCCGAGGCTGAGTCAACTTGAGTGAGTCTCGAAACACTCGTTTATCTCTTAAGTGCATTTTAGTAAATTTCCCTTTCCCCATTGATGCTAGATCAGGAGAGAGAACTACAACTGCTAAAAGTTGATCAAATTACCACAATAATTGGTTGCAGAAAATAGAGTGATCAAGTGTCCCTGAGCAAACCGCTCAAAGCCGTCCATCACACATTCATGGGCTCTAATGATGAGCTGCAATCGGTTTTTCTTACAGAAGTCCAGGACACGATCTGGCTGCAATTGCAAGTGATGAATAAGAATTATTTATCACAGACACCTATATAAACAAACATATATACACTTGTTTGTGTGCATGTGGTTAGTAGGAGCAAGCACCCAATGCAATCCTTTCATTCATTGTAAAGATTGTAAGTAGGATATGACAGTTGGCATTTTTACCCTAGTCACACACCAGATAGATGAATTGATAGCATAGATTTCCCACTAATATTGCTCTGAAAAATATACAGAAAAAGGTCTCATACCCCAAAAGTGACTAGACCTGGGCCTCTTGCATTCGGTCGTAGTCCCTCTATACTGTCGTTCTCTGTGGGGTCAGACCTGGAAATAACACCAGAAAACCATTCTAAGGACCTTCTTTGTTTTTTTTGGGAGGGGAGTTAACTTCTTGTATTGAATATAACAACGTTACAAAAAGAAAGTGCTCTTTCTGAGGACCAAATTATGCAGCTAGTATTTGCAGGGTGTCCAATGTCACACAGATTATTTGTCAATTCCCAACGAAAGAATTACAAAGATCCATTACCACAGAAGGTCCATCAAAATAATGGATCCAGCGTCCATTGTAATAGGCCTTTCAAGTTTCTCTATTTGCTCTACAAAGTTTATGGACCTTCCAATTCCACCGTGCATGCAAATGATTTTCTTCTCAATGAGTGCAGCAAGCGGCAGAGTATTGAAAAGCTGATTGAAACGAGTCCATGCCCATATGCCATCATTCTCACCCTACAACAAACACCATCCAAATCAGGGCATTACATGACCTTCCAGATCAGCAAAAGCACTGAAACTTAAGCAATATAGAACATATTCATGATTACCATTCTCTCAATGCATTCAATGCGGAAACCAAAAAGTGCATTTATGTCGGCAGCTTCATGGTTTCCCCGGATCAAATGGACGTGTTCAGGATACTCAATCTATGAGAGCCAATGAAAACAAAATTGTAACTCCGGTCAACAACAGAGAGATCAAGATTATACAAGTTAACATAAAAAACTAGAAACCAAATAACTCTCATTTTTGATTCAGTAAAATAAAGACTTGCCTTGAGAGCCAGAAGCAATGTAATTGTTTCCAAACTGTGTTGTCCACGATCAACATAGTCCCCCAGAAACAAATAGTCAATGTACCTGCAACATTTTCCAAGTGGTGTCATTTACTGTTGAAAGAATGAAAAAGACATGACGAGATCTCCAAAACTGCAATGTTGTGTCATGAAGTGCAGCTTTTGATAAAGTATCATAGTATACATGACAAAAAGCAAGCAAAATTTCACAAAGATATCAACCAAGCCAAAAAAATAACAAAAAGAAAATATTTGAAATAAAGAAATGCTAGAAGAATTAGAGTGAGCTGGACGGACGAAGTTGAAATGTGCAACGGGAGTTTTATGTGATTGCCGCATACCAAGGAAGCTGAAGGGCAAGTTTTATAGGACAGCTGTGAGACCAGCTTTACATTATGGGACGGAATGTTGGGTGGTTAGGAAACAACATACCTGTAGGACGAGTGAAGCTGAGATGGGGTTGTTGAGATGGACGAGTGGAAAGACAAGAAGAGATAGAATTCGAGATGCATATACTTGGGAGAATTTAAGTATGGCACGAATAGGTTATAAGATGAGAGAAATTAGACTAAGGTGGGCTGGCCATGTGTTGTACAGATTTGTGATGTTCAAGTTGAAGGTTCAAAAAGGACAAAGGGTAGGCCCAAAAGGATAAGGTTGGAAATAGTGAGAAAAGATATGAGGACTTATGACCTAATAGAGCAGAATAGCGACCATGATTTGTGTAGCCGACCCCAATTAATTGGTAAAAAGCTTCAATGATGATGATGAAAGAAATGTTAGAAGAAAATATCAAGGAAAAATATCACTTAAAACAACTTTACAAAATCCATAAGGTTGTCAAATGATCCTATTTAGCACAACACAAAGTTAATTACACCCAAATACCTCCTTCAAAAAATTCTTTAAAGTTTCCCAAATTACTCTTATTTGGGGTCAGAAACTCTAAACAACCAGGGGCATTTGGCAAGCCAAATGATGATGATACCCTTGGTTTTTCAGGGGTTGGAAAAATGAACAAGGAATTTAGAATGAAAAAAGTGAGCTCGGCTGCTAAAATCCTAAACAACCAATGGGAGCATTGTTATTTGGCAGTTTCGTATAACTAACCCTAAAAAACTAGGGGCATTTTTATCATTTGGCTTGGGCTACTTTATTGTGGTCAACAATTTTTAACCTTAAACAGGGGCAATTTGAGAATCTTGGAAAAAAAAATTTTGATGAGGTACATGGGTGTAATGAAACTTAAAAAGTAAATATTGCAGTGGCATTAGTAAAGAGGTCATTTGACTACTTAATGATTTCGCAAGGTGATTTGAGGATTTAAGTGCTATTTTCCCTAATCTATTTCAATGCATTGTTAATTAAAGAGAAGTTCTTTAGGCTTTAACAGATCTCATCTAATGAAAAGTAAAACTCCAGCAAAAGTAAAACACCAGGCAAGGATAACACTGAAGAACTTGGAAAGTTAAGATTAGTTCGTTAATACTTAAGAAAATTGCTCCATGAACTTCACACAAGCATTTGACGGACAACTAGCAAGAATACAAAAGCTACAAACTCAAGGTTGACACATCTTTGGTACTGGAGTTGGAGATATGAACCCAAATATAAATTTGGTATGTGTAATTCTGTTATTTTAAAACTTCTTTTTCCACTATGTTTTCTAAGTTTTTCGCCTTTTGGATCCCTCGAAAAATTGACTTGAAAAAACTATTTCATAGGAAATATATTTCTTGCATAAAACATTTCCTGTAAAATAAGTTTTTGTTGTTTGGGTAGCATCCGAATGCATCATCATCAAAGCCTTTTCCCAACTAATTGTGGTCGGCTATACAAATCATGGTCCGTCATTCCGCTCTATTAAGGGCCCTACCTTCACGGAGGCCATATATATTTCCTCACTACTTCCAACCACGTCCTTTTGAACAACCCCTTGCGTTGTTTTAACCTTTCACTTGAACTAACTCGCACCTCCTAACAGGTATTGTATTGGGTATGCATTGGATATGGCCAGCCCACCTAAGTCTACTTTCTATGATCTTATCGTCTATTGGTTCCAAACCTAAATTCTTCCAAATATATTCATTTCAAATTTTATCCCTTCTTGTTTTGCCACTCATCCATCTCAACTACACTCATTCTATGTGCATATTCTTTCTTGATTGCCCAACATTCCGCCCCCATAAAGCAAAGCTGATCTCACAGTTGTCTTATAGAACTTACCTTGAGATTCATTGGTATGTGGCCCTCACATAAAACTCTGGTTACAGATCTCCACTTTGCCTACCCAGCTCTAATTCTATGTATGAAATCTTCCTCAATCTCTCCATTTTCGTGGATTATCAACCTAAGATATCGAAAATGCGCTCCTTTTGGTATTTCTTGGCCATTAATCTTGACTAGTTCCTCATCTCTATTCCTATTATTACTAAAACTTGCATTCCATATACTTTGTCTTAGTCCGGCTAATTTTAAAGCCATTAGATTCTAAGGTATCCCTCCAAAGTTCTAATTTTGTATTGACGTTGTTTCGGATCTCATCGATCAAAACTATACGAACAACATACCCCACAGTATCTCATCTAGTTGCCTAGTTAATTCATCCATAACTAAGACAAAATGGTATGGGCCATAGTTACCGGGAACTGGAGCGACAAGAGCTTCAGGATCGGGAGTGGGAGCGTAGAGTGAGGCAAGCTTGAAGATCCGTGGTTGGGGGAATGAGTTGCGTACATGGTCAGGTAAAGGGATCGAGATCCCTGACTTTTAGAGAGCGCATTCCATATTTGCACAGCAGCGAATTCTTTACTAAATGGGATCGCTTTCCTCCATGATACAGATCGAGGTTCCTGAAGTTCACTTATTAACTGTATTGTAATTTGGGAGTGAATTCCATTGAACAATACGTTAAACTTTTTCCAGATTCACAAACTTAGTATCCATCTAAACAAAATTCATGTCATTGAAATTCTCTTTGACATTTTGTTGTCATTGGAGTATGATCTCACACATAGCGATAATAAAAATCCAATATGGTGATGTAATACCTAAGTCCTCGATCCTAGGTTAACAATGGGAAGGGAGGATGATAAAAATAGCTATTGTAGGTCTCGTTCATTACAAAAATTGCATACCGACCTACATTGGTCTTCTTATAATGTACACATCCTCATTATTGGCACCAATCAGTTGGATTGGGCAACTCCCTCTTAAACATCAATTGATGATTAATATAAGAATGTTGTGATAGATTGTTTCCAAAAAAAGAAATGCCACGATAATTAAGTTCTCATTTGCAACGCAAGGAAAAGGAAAGAAATTGCTACATATAATTCCCAATAGCTCTCCTCCATCAAAGATTGTTAGGGGCTAAAAAACATAACATGAGAGAGACCTCACATTTCCACGCATACATGTTATTCCATCGCCCATAAGACAATCTCATGAGTGGCTCAATTTGGTTGACCAATACTCAAGCAATAGAAGTCCTTCAGGAGGTAGACAAGACCCAATGAACTAGCTCCAAGGAAGCTAGTGTATTGACATTCTTTAATTGAACCATAACACGACTGACTTTGGTATCTCCTTCCATCTTCTTGCTTCTCTCCTTATCCTCTCTTTCGTTGCTTTACTTTGAAACTAGACATAAATCATGATTCACAACGTGTGTAAAGTTGTGAATTGTAAAATATGTAGGAAACCATAGCATCTAGAAAATTTGTAGGTCATAAAAAATTGGAGGTCCACATTCCATTGTATATGAACCAAAACATGTGTTGGTGAAACTCGCTCCCAAATTAGAGGATACTCGATTCCAAGTTGGTTGAATTGTAGTTCCGCTTACTCATGGAACCATAATTTTTGGCAAAGAGATCTAGATCCCATTAGCTGGGATCAAGTTCCCCACTTTCCTGAATGGAGATCCCAAATATCAAGGAATTGCCCGAAATCGTGATCTTGTATCTCGGAGTACGGGATCGAGCTTTCGGAGCGAAAGCAACCTCCACCTTAGAAGATCCCGGTAACTATGGTATGAGATCAATACTGACCCCTGATGTAAGACCTATTGTCACTGAAAACTCACTCGTCTCTCCACTAATTGTTTGCACACTAGTTAGAGCTACTTGGTACATATTTCTTACAAAGTCGATGTCGTGTTTGAAGACTCCTTTCTTTGTCAAAACCCATCAAAATCAAATCTCGAGGTACTCTATCATAAGCTTTCTCTTAACAATAAAGATCATGGACACTCATTTTAAAGAAAAGAACTGTCTAGCTGCATAAGGAATTTGGCGAGGAAATTAACTTTTTTAGCTTGGTAGAATAACAATTCCGTATTGCTGGAAATAGAGAAAACAATTTCTCACAACAAAGACTTTCCACCTAGATTTTGGATCCAAACAACAAAAATTGACACTCCCCTTGGAAAACCATTTCCTAGTAATATTTTTCTAAGCATCCAATCGGCCCCTAAAAGGTAATGTGAATACTATGAGTACCAAGTCAAAAGCTTGTTTTGGATCGACCTACTTTGACAATGTCCAGACTTTTTATCAAAAGAGAGAGTGAAAACAACAAATACCAGTAAATGTGGCTTATCTATTAAAATCATTTTTAAAACTTAATCAAATTTTCATCATCACCATATTTCAGCTTCGCATGACACTATATGGCATGTCATACATCACAACGTTTGTCATATGATATGGTATTAGTTCATATAATGGTGTATTTGTTATGGCATGTTAGACAATAGGCATATAGTATACTATATTTTATTGCATGATATAGATGGATGTGCAGTATGACATCCATGAATGATATTTATATTTATTTTATATAATAATAGTATTTATCGACTTCTATGTAATGCAGTTGGTTGGGCCTCGTCCTCATCGTTTCAGGGACCTGGTCGGGGTCTGGCCTGAGGACGCTCTCTCAGAAAACTGTGGGGCCCGAGCGTGTGCGCACACCCGCTTGCACGGATAAGTACCAACGGCGAGTGCGAGATTTTAGTGGTGAGGGAGTCAGGCACCTACCTTGCACAATGGGTTCGGGGAC